ACCTCGCCAGTTTGCTGACGGCTCGGCCTATCACTCGGGTACCATCAAAGTCGAACCAATGGTCGTTTTCTGGACTGTGCATGGTGACGTGTGATCGTACATCCTTTCGCTGTACCGCTAAAGTAATCTCGTGCAGGCGAGTTCTCAGTCGTTTATCCGTCATGCCCCTGTACTTGGTGCGACAGTCTAGATAGTTGACGCGGTAAACAATGCCCGACGTAGCTGCCGGTGCTAGTCGGCTTTTGGGTTGCATTACTAAGCGGTGAATAGTTGCCTCTGGCCGTTGTCCCACGCCCACATTATGCGGTCTGAGCACGCGCTCAACGGCCTCGGAGACGTTCCTCGCGTAGGGTAAGACAAAGAAGTTTTTCGTGTTTTTGTTTTGGCTCGTGCTTATTCTTTGTGTCTTTGGTACAGTTATTTGCCTACGAAACAACGTGGATGTCCATTGATGGGGGAATAGGCGCCATAGGATTTTACGTACGCATAGCTTCTCGGTCTCCTTGCTGCAATGTGTCTGGATGCGGCGAAAAAGCGTCCAGAGGCAACTGCGTTTATGTGAAACGGGATTATTACTGTTGTAATGCAGCATATTCGCCACGTTGTTCGCTTTACGAAGCACGCCTGTCCGTCCTCTTGCCTCGGTATCTGGACATCAAGAACTGGGAGCACTGCCTTCTTGTGAATTGAATTGGTGGAAAAGTCGAGTTCAGTTCCCTTTTTAAGTTATCCTTAGCGCCTCAGTGTAGGATGAAGTGTCGTCTACGTAGCGCATCCAGATGCATACGCGGACGTCACAAGAAGCGGTCGAAAGAAGACCCCAGGTTCTGACTCGCAATTCTTTATGTTAAGAATGTATCAGAGGCGACAGCAAGAATCCTGAAAACATTAGGGATCGGTGCGGTTCATAAGCCAGATTCAACCATCAGACGAAAAATCATGAGGCCTCAAAACACGCAACCATGGACAGAACAGTCAGCAGTAGTAAACAGTATACCAATACAAAACTGTGAAGCAAGGTATGTTGATGAAAGGGGAAAACGTCTTGGCACGAGGTTGCA